CTTGGCTTCCTTGGCTGCCCGCTCGGCCTCCTTGGCTGCTTCCTCAGCTTCACGAGCGGCCTGTTCTTCAGCTTCACGAGCGAGACGCTCAGCTTCTTCCTTGGCTCGCTCCGCTTCGATAGCTGCTTCACGGGCGGCTTGTTCTTCAGCCCGCTTTTTGGCCTTCTCCTGGAGGAGTTTTAACCTTTGCTCTCCCGACTTATTGATGCCCAAAAAGGAATTATCTCGCTTATCGATTAACTGGGCGATTTCTGCCTCTTCTTTGGCAATTGCAGCAGCCTCTGCAGCCTTTGCGGCCTCCTGGGCAGCCCGTTCCTCAGCTTCCTTGGCCGCCTGTTCGGCTTCGCGTTCGGCTTGCTCTTGTGCTTCCCGGGCAGCCTGTTCAGCTTCTTGGGCAGCTTGCTCGTCCGCTCGCTTTTTAGCGTTAGCTTGAAGGATAGCCAGCCTGTCTTCGTCTTTCCTGAGGAGTCTGCCAGCTCTTTTACTCTTCTTCAGTTCTAGAGCGGCGAGTTCCTCCTCTTCCATTGCAATAGCAGCAGCTTGTTCCTTGGCTTCACGCTCAAGCTCTTCTGCTTCACGGGCGGCTTGCTGAGCTTCCTGGGCTGCTCGCTCATCTGCCCGCTTTGTAGAATTTTTCTGAAGCGCAGCGAGCCTTTCTTCGTCTTTCCTAAGGAGTTTACTGCCCTTTTTAGCTTTCTTCGCTATCAAAGCGGCCAGCTCCTCTTCTTCTTTGACGATGGCGGCGGCTTGTTCCTCAGCCTCACGAGCGCGTTCTTCTTCTTGGCGGGCGGCTTCCTGGGCGGCAGCTTCTGCTTCACGAGCAGCTTGCTCTTCCGCTTCTCGAGCGGCACGCTCTTTCTCCTCGGCTTCTCGTGCGGCTTCTTGTGCTACTCGGTCCGCTTCGCGTGCTGCTCGTTCTTTCTCTCGTTTTGCGGCGTTCACTCGGAGGGTAACAAGTCTTTGTTCTTCCATTTTAAGGAGCTTGCCCCTTTTGACTCTCTTTGCCAGCAACGCTGTCATTTCATTCTCCTCCTCTTTGATGATAGCTGCTTCGCGCTCTTCTGCTTCGCGGATAGCACGTTCCTCAGCCTCACGTGCGGCTTGCTGTTTATGCTCATCGTGGTCGCTTTCACGTTCTACCGGCTCGGCTGCTGCAGCATTGGTGTCTTCAGGTTCTTCGTCAGGCTCGGCCTGCGGCTCGTCTGCCTCTTGCTGCACTTCGGCCTCTTTTGAGGTTTTGTCCTGCGCTTCGCGAGCGGCACGTTCTTTGCGTTTCGAGGCGTTTCCCTGGAGGTGGACGAGTCTTTCTTCCTCCTTTTTAGGCAGCTTGCCCTTTTTAAGCTTCTTCGTAAGCAATGCCTTCATTTCCGCTTGCTCTTCAGATATGATAGCTGCTTGTTCTGCTGCTTCGCGGGCAGCTCGCTCCTCTTCTTCGCGTGCTGCTTGCTCCTCAGCCTCTCGAGCTGCTTGTTCCTGGGCGGCCCGTTCCTCGTCTTCCCGTGCCTTGGCTTCCCGCGCAGCTCGTTTCTCGGCTCGAATAGTGGCATTCTCTTCCAGGAGTGTAAGTCTTTCTTGATCTTTCCTGATTAACTTGCCCCGCCTGGCCTTCTTCGTATTCAAGGCAGACATTTCCTCCTCCTCTTTGGCAGCAACAGCAGCCTCAGCCTCCTCCTCGAGTCTGGCCTTCTCTGCTGCTTCGCGAGCGGCGAGCTCTTGTGCCCTTTGCTCTTCTTCTTGACGGGCTCGTTCGTCGGCTTCCTTGGCTTCCTTGGCTTCCCTGTCGGTCTTTTCGGCCTTCTTCTTTTCCTTCTCGAGCTTTTTGAGGTCTTTGTCGGTCAGCCTTGGTATCCTAGATAGCGCCCTATCCGCTTCCTTGTCATTCGGCTTGAGCTTTGACGCGGCGGCATGGGGATCTCCTGCTTCATCTTCAGGTTCAGTAAGGTGCATTGAAGGGGGAGTGGGTGCACGGGGAGGTGGATCAGCTAAGGCCTCATTCCGAGATTTCAACTTTGCCTTGTTGGACTTTGTCCAGACATAGCTGTCGACGCCTTCGACCTTGCTACTCCTAACCTCCTCTACGGCGTCAGGCAGGACAATCTCACCGGTGGTCTCATCCACAACCTCAACAGGGTCACCCCTGAAGTTAGACTTCTTCTTGTCCTGGGCCGAGGTGCGGTCGGTTGGCTCTTCAATGACATCGGGTTTCCACGACGAATCGTCAACGTCTCGTCGCTTCTTATCACTCTTGCCGATACCCCAAGAGCCGAAGAAACCTTCGCTACCAAATGTGTCCCCCCCGTCCAGTCCTATGTTGTTAGAGTCATCTGCAGGTGCGTCGTCTAGGGCGCCCAGCTTGACCAAATCGGTGGTTCCTTTCTTCTTGTCCTTCTTGGCATCTTCTTCGTTCTTGGATTTGGCGGATTTGGATTCACCCTTGGAGGGGTCAGAAGTTGAACTCTTCTTCTTCTTCTTGTCTTTATCCTGATCCTTGTCTCTGTCTCTGTCTCTGTCTCTGTCCTTTTTGATTGTCGTCTCTTCGATGAGATCTCCAGAAGATTTGGGGCTTTGAGTATCTGCCTTGGACGATCCTTCTCTTGGTTGATCCGTGCCGGACCCGGTAACAGAGTCATTTTTCTTACCCCCGAAGCCCCAAAAACTCCAGCCCTCTTGGTTCTCTTCGGAGTTCCTCCCTTTGGCTGAGTCATTTGCTTCGTCTGGGCCAATGTTGCCTTCTCTGTCTTTGGCACCAGCGTTTCCCAAAGGCTCGTCGCCATTTAGACGCTTCTGTTTAGGCTCAGGGATACGCGATGAGGGTTTTTCTGAAATTGGTTCGTCAGATGCCGCAAGTTTCGACTTCTTCTTATCTTTGTCTTTGTCCTTCTCCTTCTCGCGCTCCTTCTCCCCTTCCCTCTCCTTTTTGACTGTCTTTTTGGCGGCAGAGAAACCCCATTCGTCGTCTGGCTGTGGAATCTTCGACTTCGATTCGAGTTTAGGCTCAAGCCTAGATTTAGGCTCAGCTGCTGGCGCAGATATAACGGGCTGCGCTAGTTTGTCGCTCTTCTTCTTCTTCTTTTCCTTTGAGGCAGGGACAGAGTCCCACACATTCTCCTGGAGAAGAGCTGCTTCCTGAGCTGCGAATTGTGGAGGTGGCGCTGGGGGAGGCGGCGGCGGCGGGGGCACTTGTTGCTCATACTGCTTGACATTTTCCTCGGCTTTCTTTTTATTCTTTCCAAGTCCCCAGAACCAACCCCCCTCCTCTTTCTCCTCGGACTTGGAGGCCCCCTTGATCGGCATGGGATCTGGCTTTACTTGGTCTTCAACTGATGTGTCGCTTGCTTTCTTGTCGCTTGTCTTTCCAACGTCGCCTTTGGTGAGGTCGTCATTCACTGCTAGCGCAGTATGCGCAGCACTGAAACTAGGTGTGCGATTGACCTTGTTACTCTTTTTCTTGGATGAATATCCCCACGGGTCATCATCCTCATCTATCGCATCATGAGGGGCCTCTGCTTTGTTATGGGCCTTCCTCTGTGTCGCATCGGTATCGGCGACTGAAAATGCTAGAGAGCTGGATTGTATCGAGTCGCTGGCGGTCCAAGGATTGCTGTCGGGGTTGTTGTTTTTGTCGCCAGCGTCGGTATGGGCATCGTTACCACTCGAGGATCCGCTGGCGGCAGCACCAACAAAGGATACAAATTTACTACCCCAGGCCCCAAACCCACTCTTGGACTCGTGCGCGTGTGACCCAGAATCGGAATTTTTCCCAGCGTCGTCGTTGAGATTTACGTCGTCAAGAGAGTCGTCGTCGATCGCGTTGGTTGCGGGAGGAGGAGACTCGGTCTCAGGGCCCTTTTTGGTCTTGGTATCCTTTTCGCTGCCTTTGGGAGGCGCCGACAAATCATGTTCCGCGTTGTCATTGTTTGCACCCCGGTCACTATCCTTGTCCCCATCACCGCCACCACCAGCATTACTCCCGTCACCTGCAGCTCCGCCCTGGCCTGCATTACCACCACCACCACCACCCTGCTCCCCACCGCCATTTCCTTCGGGGTTCTGGCTACCTTCCTTGGATGGCCCCTCCGCAGACCGGTTATTGTTGTGGTTATTGGCGCTGCCGTTGTGCCCTCCTTTGTTCTTATTCTTCTTGCCTTTGCAGCGAACAAAGCCATCTTCAGAAGTGAAATCAATTGTTACATCGAGAATCGGATCGTCAAGGAAGCCAGATCGAGATCGCCTGCGCTGCGTCGATTGGGCCGGGTGTGGGGACGGCTGATGAGACTCGGCGCGTGGTGCATCTCGGCGAGCAAGCGAATCGGCGTGGCGAGGTTTTGTGACATGATAGACAGAAGAGGTCGCTGCAGGTCTTGCATGATGTCGAGAGAGCCACCGCGGGAACAGGTTGGGCACGATTAGTGGTCTGCCCGGCCGTGATGTGCAAGTGGAGGACGAACGATGCTATAATTCCCAGTCAATGCGCTGAAACGAATGACGACGATGCCTACATGACCATGAGCCTTCCCCGCAAGAAACTTGATACGCACCTCTCCACGAACGATCCAAGCTCGAGAAATGAGCTGCAGCCGTGCCTGCAGACTGCGCTCATCCCACCCATTTCCCCTTGATCGCCTCGGAGCTGGCCATTCTGTGCATTTCGTCCCGTGTTGATTAAACACCAACACATCGGCGGCAGCCATTGTTGGAATGGGAGCTGATGCAATGGCACGGCAATGTTGCAATCATGGGAGCTATATTTTTCGCCAGAAAGTAGGCGAGAGTGTGTATAACGGAAGGCTTCTCTCTTTGAAGCTAGAGATCCCTTCGCAAGGGCATGAAGGGAGAAGGCCGATTCTAAGCTTCAGCAACCCTCGGGTAAAATCGACGATATTCTCGAAAGCACAATAAAAGAAAGGACGGTATCGTGAACGGATGCGAAAGATATTGCGACTTGCAGGTGCACAGATGTGATGTTTCGTCAAGATACCTGCTGCGATGGTGTAAGTTGTGGCGGCCCGCGCGAGCTTCGTCTCTAGCAATCGCGGCAGCTGGTCGATTCCATGAGAGAACCACGGACAAGAAGAAGACGCAATAAAACAGCGAGGAGAAGAAGAAAACAGTTCTGTCACTAACAAGAAGAACTGGAGTGTTACTGCAAGACGGCGGTTGCATTAGCTGAGTCTTGGGTTTTCCTTGATTTTTTTTGATTTTTTTTAAGAAAACTTTTGGGTAGGGATGGCATGTACTAACCCGAGTTCTCTGCAGAAGCCGGTGAAGGCGCGTTGCAAGCGCAGCTATGGGCAGCACAGATAGATTGCCTAGTACCAGACCTTAGCACCTAACCTCGCAGCAGTAGCACGAACAGCGGATAAGATAGCTGGGCTGACGATCTTGTTGCCGCAGCCCGTCCGCCTCGTCAGTTGGATGTACAGCTCAGTGTTGGTAGCACAGAGAGCTACCAAGACCCTACTTACACTTACAAGTACAAAGACACTAAGCACGGTAGTACCGTGGGAGGCGGGCTGTAGTGAAGTCGAGTATAAGTTGGTGAGCAAGGCTAGTAGATGTGGCAAAGGCCCGGGATCCTCACAATAAAAAGAGCGGCCGAGCGAGGCGGGATCAAGTGGTGAAAGATGGTGGCGAGGCTGTCCAGAGAGAGGAAACAAGCCACTGGCCGCGGCCCAGGGAAGAAGATTTCCGGACAAAGTGACTGACCTCCAGCAGATGCGGAGGGACCAATGATACAGGTGCCCTTGCCTTGGGACTGCCCAACCTACGGAGGGAGAAGAGGCGAGTATCTCAGCTTGAGGTTGCACAAGGGCTGCGGCCTCGACACCCTCTTTTTGGTCCTCTTGCTTTTTCTCTTTTACAGCATCACGCTTGGTGTGACTGAGAACTACTTTGGGCACTACGGCAAGTATCCATGGCTTTGAAGGTACTAGCACGAGTAATGGATGATCCAATGTGATATCGTAGATGGTGATGCAATAGGTACAGTACAGTAGAGATAAGTCAAACAAGATGCGGCACATGGATCTCATGAGACCCGACGGGCGTTGGCGAGAGGGCACTTGTGCTTAGGAGTGCAAATACATGCCTTTCCGATCTGCGATTCGGCACCTGGAGAGACAGCGAGTACCGCAATGTCTCGTACATACATGTACACTGACAGCCGCCTTGCAGCGCATTGTCTTGGATGTTGGGGGTACCACTACCGTAGAACAAGGTACTAGGCATTCTCCAGACTGACCTACGATAGACGTGCCTGAGCCCTCGTGGGACATTGCCCATGCCAAAGCATAAACGGGAGAGGACGACTAAGCAGGTGCTAGGCCGTTGAAAGCGCCCAACTGGGAAGGCTAGAGCCTTTGAGCAAACAACGTGACACGAGCGCTGCCGTCATTGCCTCGCTTCTTTTCTTTCCTCGCCTCGCCCTTGCCTCTCTCTGCACTGCTCACCCGCAGGAAGCAGAACACAGGAAGGACCAGCCAGCCCTTTGCAGGCGAATGCACGCACACATGAGCAGGTACGATACGACTGGCGACTCCCAAGAGGACGCTCCTGCACCAAAAGATGCGCCAGTGATGCACCAGGACGCAGCGGCCCGGCCAATCAAAGTGGCGCTGGGCGGGAGGGTTGGCTGGGCTGCGGGCCCCATTCGCTTGTCACCAGACCCCCAAAGTGCTTAGCGCGTCTTTAGCCCATCTCCAGCTGCAGCCAAACAAGCCCGCTGCCATCTCGCATGGGGATTGGATCTCCCTTGGTACCTCGTAGGTACCCAACAATTTGAATCAAGGTGAATGGCATTCGATGTTTTGATGGAGGACGATGGTGTAGCACAAAGAAAAGACAGAAAACGAAAGGGGCAAGATCCTGCTATTATAGGATTCCTCACAGCCACCTTGGTTCCTATGCGGCTAACAACTATTTTATTCCATATCATCACGACCAGTAACGCTGATTTCCAGTTCATGATACCACTACAATACTTGCAGGCGACGCAGTCGGTCTGATGCTGCTGAGAGATGCATCCCATCTGCAGCCATGGCCTATTTATCGATGCAGCTCAATGCACCAATGAAGCATTGCTGCAATGCATGTGTGTCCCACTGCTGCTGCTTCTGCTCCGAGATAAATAACAGAGCGCGAGCATTCTCTGCCTGTTTTGTTTATTTGTTTATCTCATTTATTTTCCTTTGTGCCTTGACAAGCTCCAGACTAGCGGAGAGTGTACCTGCTTCGTACCCAGCTATTGTCATCTATCACTTTTCATCACAGGTTGGTGCAAAGTATGAACTTTATAAGCAAAACTTGCAAGAGTTGTGATTCTCACCATCACAAGAAAATGAAGAAAGTAGAGGAAAGTACAGAAATAGCACTTCGCCCCCCAAACCACACCTTTGACCAAAAAACAACAGCAGAAAACCATACGATCCTCCACCACTTGAGCACCCGGCTGGCCTCGTCGCGTGACAATGTACATGCACGTACCATGCAGGCGCATGCAGGGCCTCGATCCACCCAGCTGCAAATAAAGTGAATCAGAATCAAGAAAAAAACAAAAATCTCGCATGAGGCGCGCCTCGTACATACATAAACGCATGCGCACCCGCACTGACACGCGTGCATGTACCTGTACTTTGCGGCTGGCATTTGACGATCCAAATCGGCTGCCATCATTGGTTGCCCTGACCCGAATCGATATGCCCTGCGTATCCAGTGCCAGGTACCGGTACGTTGATATGCCCAGGTACCCTCCTTTGCACGGGTTGCTACAGGCAGTTTGACCGCTTGTCAGTCGGTCAGCCAGGGCTCGAATCCCTTTGTGCTGCTGCTGCTGCTGCTGTTCTCCCTCAGACACGTTCATGCAGCATCGCCTTTCTTTCTTACAGGGTTCAGAAGCACGGCAGACTCAGCTGACCCCCTTGAGTCATTTTGCCGGATACGGCAGAATGAGGTAGACAGATGAGAGACATTCAATGTTGCCCCTCACTCAGACTCACAGTTGGAATCCAAATAATCAAATCTGCATATTTATAAAGCAATACTATCAACATATATCGATATATCTTCATTAAAAGGTAAATTTAAACTAAGGTAGTTCAGAAACATATTAAATGCAATATCGAGCTGCAAGCAGGCACCCTTGTGCAGCCTCCCGAATAGTCCGTCTTCTACTGTAGTACAAGCCCGACATCGCAACGGGCCTTTCGAAGCGGTCAGACCCAAACGATTCATCGAGTCAAAACCCCCCTAGAGTCTGCTTGTCCCTTGGGCCTCTTCCATCATGCCACGGGCAGTGCTGGGGCTTGCTATCAGATGATGAATGACGTTTTCCAGCAATAGCATCATCGTCATGAATTATCCACAAAACGGCAGCAATGCAGACGCTGAGTTGGGCACTTTCTCCCGCTAACACTTTGTCACATGGTCTTCAGAAAACAGCTCGTAAACCATCCATTACCTTTTGATATCAGTAGGTATTACTATCGACAAGGTGAAATGCACGCAGTAATTGGGCATGATTCCATGCTTGCTACAGGCGCCCCCACGGCCCCCCATATCTCCCTTACAGACTACAAACTAAACTCAAGCGAAACCTGTCAAACAGAATCCCCAGATTAGTTATCACAGCATGCACATCATAGCAACAGCAAGAAACCCTGCCCTGGCCATGTTTTCCAGGGCCTGTCTCTGAGCCAAGCAAGGGCTTGCTTGTATGTACTTTGTACTCGTGCCATGACAGTTTGGATAAGAAGCACAAAAGAATCACAGTTATCTCGCCCCCCTGGTCCGGCTTATACCGGGAGTCCCACATCTTCCGGCACTGATATCTTATCGCCATGCCGATATCCAGCGGCTACCGGTGCAGGTATTTCTCTTTCAAAGTGCCGTTATAGTATTTGAGAAGCATGTCCAATAAATCTTATTGTACGGTTGCTTTCTTAATCAGTAAGATTTGCTCCCAGGATACCACGTAAGAGTACGGGTGGAGGCTGATGCAATGGATTTAGCATCAAACCTTCATAGCTCTTGAGCCTCATAGAAGGTGCTTGATCTATATATCCAGTATGCCTGACGAATTACGTAGGTAGGTAAGATGTAATTAGAATGATCCTCAGTGTTTGCACCATTCTCCAGAGGTAGCATCAAGAGCGGTATCAATAACCATTGCAAAAGAAGAGAAGAGTGGAAGAGAACACCAGTTCAATCACAGCAGTACATCACTCAACCAGTTGCATAGCATCAGAATACAAATGAACAAGGCTTTATCCGGTAGGACACAAGTCCCATCAACAGCATCACAAAGTGATGTCGCGGAAAGTCGGAGTGACAATAAGCTTCAAGGGGTGGTATCTATGCGACGTGCCATCTAATAACCCGAGCCATCTCAAATTTTGTTTTCCAAAATGAAAAAGAAGAAAATAAATCACACATATCAGAATTCAAATGCCACCCGTTCCACGCTATATAACCAAGCTCGCCTCCCCGAGTTGGGGTTCGGGGGCAGTCCGATAATTAAACACCCATCGTCGTGGTAAGAAACCGTAAAAGGGGGGGGAAGAACACAGATGGAGGGAAAGGGTAGTGATAATGGGGAGGAGAAAACATGTAACAGAAGAAGAAGAAGAAGAATGGAATCAAAGGGTTGCTCGTCCATCAGCGCCCATACTCTCCAGTGTAACTCATGTCGGCGTAATTCTGGCCCATGCCCTCTTCTGGGTATCTGGCTCCAGAACTACTCATGTATCCACCATCGTCGCCGTCATCGTAGTCACTGGCATCGAATGAGGATCTACCACTGAGCTCGTCATCCAGCCCACCTCCCATGTCGGTCGACCAATTCATCTGCGCCAGGGCGGGATATTGAGCCAAGAGAGCCTGTGGGAGGCCATAGTTGCCGCTGGAATCCATGGGATAAGCAGGGCTAGCATCCATGCCCATAACCTGCGGGTTGGCCATGTTCTGTGCCATGTTCTGCTGCATCCGCTGTTCCTGCCACTGGCGTTGCCTTTCTATCATTTCCTCGTCCAGGAGAGGTTTGATGCATATTCTTCCTGCTTCAGAACGGAAATGTCTTCCCAAGGCATCAGCTCGTGCAAATCGTCGACCACAGCCCCACTGGCCACCGGTTTTCAGATCACCCTTGCAAACAAATTTCTTCTCTCCGGAATGTAGACTTTCGTGTCGCTTTCTGTCATGCTGTCGAGCAAACGCCTTGCCGCAGACAGTACAAACGAATGGTCGCTCATCGGTATGAGTGCGCAAGTGAGACCGCAGATTATATGCCCGAGTGAAGCGTTTAGGACATAGAGTACACTGGAAAGTTGCCGGGTGTTTCTGCATGCGCTTGCTGGTCCCGGCATCCTGGCTATTCTGATATTCGGGATCCGCCAGGCGCAAAGCGATCACGTTATTGGGCACTGAGGAAGTCGATTGCCGCCTTCGTGAGGCCGACGAGCCGACCGATTGCCGATCTAGAGGGGATAAAGATCGAGATGATGTATCGGAGCGGGTTGCAAGATCAACTCCGAGAGAGGGTCCCAAATTGCCAGGGGGGAGGATTCCGCTGCCGGGATGGAACGGATCCGTAACCGCCCTCGGGCGAGACTTGGGTCGACCTGTGAGATCACGTTAGTTGTAGTTCGTGCATGTGAAACACTATATCTCAAAAATGAACGACTTGCCTCTTTCTGGAGGTGTTAGTGAATCCTGATCCATCTGCGACTTGGGCGGCTCGAAACTGCCTTGTCTTGAATTCGTAGTCGGCGCAAAGTCAATGTTGATGGCCGGTGGTTGCATTTGATGCATATCGGCGCCCATACCGCCCTGCAGAGGCGGGAAAGTCTCATGGTTGGGTTGTAGGTCTGGGTATCCAGAGACGTTCTCATACCCGGAGTTTGGCGGGATCAAGTTGAAAGAAGGTTGCATAGTATCCGGCATCTGCTGTGGCATTATGCGAGGGCTGATGGCTGGGCTGTGCGAGGGGCTTCGGCCGTGATAGCCAGGACTGCTTGGGTCAGCCAAGCTGAAAGACCCAATACCGAGCACTTCTTGGTAGAGGCTGTCCGCAGGTCTCTGCAGAGGAGAGTGGCCCGATGGGTCGGCGTCAAACGTATCGGAACTAATCATATGAGGAGAAGGAGCCACGGAGGAGACGTCAGAGTATTCCGAGGGAGTTCTCCTATGGCCTTGGAATTGCGGTTGGGTCCAGTCGCCGAGCTGATTGGGAAGAAGCGCGGCCTCAGGCCCTAAAGAAGCATTCCTCGAATGGGTTGACGGCGGCGACGAGAATTGATGTTGGTTGAAGGGGGGCGACTGGAGACTTTCGGACGGGTAGAGCCGTGGAGGGGTCGGAGACTGATGCGAATGCGGAGAGGTCATGGCATTGAGGTCGCCAAGGGGCGGCTGCTCAAAGAGGGGGGCGTTGTACTGATCGCCTTGCTCAGCGGCCGATGGGAAGAGAGAGAAATCACCGTCGTGCAGGTTTGGCGAGAGGTAGTTTTGTTGCGCCTGGGCGTTCAAAGACAGGGTGGAGTCGGGGCCGGTGGCCGGCTGCTGTCCGAAGCTCGCGCTGGGGTCAAAGCCGGTATTCGGGTCGGCAGCGTTGGCTTGTGCACCGAGGAAGCCGTTTGCGTTGAATGAGTCGAAGTTGGGATGCAAAGATGTTGTAAATGCTCGATGTTGCTGTTGCTGTTGCTGCTGAGGTGGTTGTCGCTGCTGCTGTTGTTGCGATGGATCCAGGTCGACTCCGATCCCAAGACCAAGACCAATGGATGGCTGCTCGCTTGTGGGTGCGAACGGGCTCCGTGCCGGCGAGTGAGATTGGTTTATATCAGGCTGAAAGCCACCGGCGGACGGTGACCTTCCACGCTGGGGTTCGCTGCTCATGATGGCTGCCGAGTGCTGGTCTGTACGTCGTGCGAGGCAGATTCCACAGTCAGCCTTCCGTGCTGCAGCGGGGAGGCTGTGCACTGGGCGGCAGAGATGCAAGGAGCTGGGGGGGCGGTCCTATCACAGCGGCAGGACGCGTACAGCGGTGCGAATCACAGTCTGAAGAGTGTTTCAGACGGGCGGTCCTGAGGCCAGCTGCAACTCGTTCTCCGAGCGGGTGCGGGCGTCCAGGTACGGGGTGGATTTGACGTGGGTATGGCTATCAAATAGGGCTGGACCTGGACCTGGGAGGGGGAGGGGAGACGAGGCGAGGCGAGGCGAGGCGATGCTATGCTGGCCTGGATGCGATTTGCCAGAATGCTAGATGCTGGCAGAGTTTGGGAATCGGCACGGCACTGGCAGCGTGAAGACGAGGGAGGGGGGTCCTTTCTGGCACTTTGCTTTGTCGGGGTTCGTTCGGGTTGGGCGCCAAATCATCGAGCAGAGAAACGCGGACCCGCGAGGCTGTGCAAACTGGAGCAGCAACCTTGTGGCCGCAATTCTGCTTGGACACAAGAGGAACAGAGACAGAAAGAGACTCTGCAGTGACGGCGTCTGACGGCGCTGCTGACGACGACGCTGCTGGTTCTGGTAGCTCGGCGGGCTTGGGGTTGGTCCAACTTGGAGGCGGGTGATGTAGGAGGCAGAAAGCTAAGGTCGGAGAGGTATCGCAGGAAGTGGGATGGTCCCCAGCAAGCAGGCGTGAGATATGGATCAGGCCCTTTGCTTCAGCCGATGGTTAGCACGGCTTAGGCGACAGGCTAGCAATGAGAGAGAAATGTGCCTTTTAGCAGCCTGTCATACCCACGTGAAAATCAGATGAGGGACACAAGAGAGAGATTTGAATAGGTGCTTCTTCAGCAGTGCGACGGATGACTCAGGTACTGTATGTACATGCAAGCAGGTACTCGTACTTTGCTCACTTCAGCTCGTCCGGTTAACTTGAATGTTATTCGATGGCGCGCGCCGTGGAATGCTCTCAACTACTAAACGCAGCTATACGCTCCAGATGCAAATCCATCAGCGAGATCCGGCAACTGGAGCCAGCTGGAGGCTACCGCCCGTCTAGCACTGACGCCAGCGGCCTCCATCTTTCAAGGTTCCCTTCATGCCAACGACTCATGTAATCTCCATGGTCTTTGGTAGCGTCCGGTTGACTTGAGTTGTACATTGAATCAAACTCTAGCAACAACCCCGCACACCGTTCGCATAGGCCTCTGTCATTGGCGCCCCTCCACAGTGGCAGGGGGGGAAATGAGAAAAGGAACCTAAATGGGTACTAGTTTGCCGGTCGAGCGGTAGTGCATGAGCGTCAGTATTCCAAAGGTCTAGAATATCTCCCAAACTTGACAGATTCGGCATCACTTTCGAGGTTGCGACGGCACATGTCAGTGACAAATACCTTGAGACGTGGTAGCTGCTTACGTGTAAGGTACAAAGGTATCCTAAATACAAGAGGGGATCGGCACCTAATCTGGAGTACTATGTCGGTACTTACTACAGCCTACCCCATAGCTGTAATCATCCAAGTTGGTGAACAAGAAATATGTGATTCACATCTACCCAAGCAATAGTGCTACTATAGACCAAGGTTCTGCCACTTAGACGTAGATTACGCGTAGACAAAAGGGCTACAGAAATCCCTTTTTGGACAAGTTACCGCCATCAATCCACAATCATGAGCATCATCCCAAAAAGACGGCAGACTTCCGTTGATAGCACCCCCTACCTACTTAGACAAAAGCCCTCCCAAAATCGGCTGTTTTTCATCGTTGTCACCTTTACAGCCACCATTCGATAGCTGAACAACTTAATGAAGGAACTAGAAATGACCAAATCCTGAAACTTTTCGTTTTTGGCAGCTGCATGGAGATTGGCGGTGATGCGTCGTCTCTCCCCACATGGCTGGCGGTGATGACGAGTTTGCTCGCACGCTATCGCCATGCTAAGCTTTTGCGACACCCATGCTTCCCAGGTAGAGACATTCGGTCATTGTCATGGGCACGAAAACGGCAAATAACCTTATTAGCTCCAGTCCTGCAGAACATCGAAAGGGAAGAAGGGAAAAAAGCTGACGACAACATCACACACACACGCCCCCCATGATCGACGCCAACACATGCAAGTCTAGTCAGGCAACGCTCCTCAAGGGCTAAATATAGCGTCTATACGAAGTTAAAATCTCGCGGAGCGTATATCCTAAAGCGCTTTAATTTCACGGCAAAAGTCTTTTATTGTTTCGAATCATTCAAGGAGATGAAAGACGGAGGAGGCTGTGAAAGAGAAGAAAAAACAAAAGGGCAATAATGAGGGAAAAGAGAAATGCAATTATAACGCAGCTATCCGAAAATAGCAGCCAGAACTGTTTTGAAACAAAAAAAACATAGACGAGAGGCCTGAAGCGCAAATCAGGAGCAAAGCCGCAGCAGGTTTCAAGTTTGACAGGCCAAAACACGAGAAAAATAAAATGGAGCAACAGCGTCAGGAAAATGCCAAAATTGTGATTAATACTGCAGAATCCTTTTCTCAAACAAAGGTGGGTTTGTACCGCCCTGAGTTGTCCCATCCTTGCTTGTCCACAGCCACAGTAAGTGACGTATTGGACCGGGCTGCATGAAGACGGTTGATGCTCTGGTGCCTGGTACGTGCTCATGTACGGTGTGTTTCTGGTTCCCGATTTGAGGGATGAAACAACAAGTGAGATTGCATTGTTGTTATTTTCGGTGATTTTGAATCTGCTTTACTTCAAGCTTAACTTTTGCCATCTTTGCCTTTGAAGCTATCATCGTTAATAATACACTTAACAATGTTCATCTACATGTCAACTTGTTACTGTACCCTTAACCTTGTAGAACCCACAAAAAACCACGCAGAGCATCCAATGTAAATAAACGCTTGCAAGTTTCTCGGCTGCCGACAGCCAATCGGCTACCAGCCCTTGCTGCAAATCTAGATCCCCGTCCCTCATTGGCCCGCGCCGGGGCTTTTATTCGGATCAACTGCAAGGCTCTCCGCAAGGCTTTTTTGCAACCCTTCCCGACTCACACGCTCTCTCTTTGCACACTTTGGTGTTTCCCTACTTGTTCCACTACCCCTGGTTTTTACAATCTTCTCTTTTTTTTTTTTTCTACAGTATATTTTGCCGCCCATTCGATCATTCGGGAATCGGCCGAATTAAGGGGCGGGGGCTTCGGATTGGTACCTTTGCGGGCGCCAATAAATCCGACTTCCCGTCGCTTTTCGTGCCTTGCTTGGATTCAACGGCCAACCTAGTTTGGCCCAGAAATGGGCGCTTCCATCGCCTGAATAGGTACTTGATACTACCCGATAGGTAGCGCCCCCGAGGCCTCTCGTATCGGGCGACCTGGGTTACGGACGTTTTAGTCCTGAATCGTTGTGTCTAAGCCATTGCTCGGTTCCAAAAGCATGCAAAGCCAGAAAGTCGAGCCAAAATGTCACCAGATCAATGTTGACGGGACACCACAGCCACTCTCGTCTATTGAATTGGGCGGAAATATACCTTGCCCCCTTTTTATTATCAATTCTCCGTTGTATATTTTTGTAAGAAGAGTCGAGAGAGAGAAATTTGCCCAGACAGTTGTGCCAAATCCAAAAAGAAACGCCGTGAAACAATGCCACTTTTTTCCACCCAAGTCTTTCGGGTTGCCTCTCTGTTGTAGACAAGACAAAATCAAACACGCCATTTTCCATGTATGCGTATGCTGTTCTTTCTAGCTTCGACCAAAAGCATAGTTGGTCGTCTAATAACGTATGCCTCTCTTTCCGATTAAATCACCTCTGAACGCTCATAGCCTTCGGGCTTGAGGGCAGGCTTGGGAACCTCCCTGTCTTTGAATTTGCTGACAAAGGGGTTTGGGTCCTCCTTCTGGTTGAGGTTGCCCAAGGTGTGGTTGACTCCTCTGTGGCTGGCCTCGTCGGCTCGAATATACAGAATCAAGTCTTTCATGGTTCGGTTGCCCTCAGGCATGTTCCAGTACTAGATTTTCCATCTGTCAGTTGGATTGTTCTTTAACTCCTCTCCCTCTTGTTCAATTCACTAACCTGCACGGCAATATCAGGAATCCGAAACTTGGGATCGTTCCACTTAGGTAGATGGCCGTCTTCGATTTCGGCAATCGCTCGAGTATACGTGTGTACCGCCTCTTCCTCCAGGTAGCCGACGAATCGATGGACAATCTTGGGATGAAGCAGATATGCCACAAAGAGACTGTTGAAGAAGACACCCTGGGCGCCGATAATCATGAGCTTCATGAACGGGCCGGGCTCGCACATGGTCATGAAAGTTAAAAGGTGCATCCGTTCGTTGTAGCTTTCTTCCAAGAGCGTCTCGATCCAGCCGTTGTCTCTCTTCATGCCTCGAAGGCTGCTGAGATGGCGAAGCATGCCGCCAACCATTCCTGGAACACCTGCGATACTCTCGAGGAACACGAATCGAATAAGCTATTCGCACAGCAAGACACTTGTTAGTTATACATTCCATAACCAGAGAAATAGACCATCAGGTCCATAGCATATAAGGGTGAGTAGAAAATCATACCCATTGGGCTTCTGTCAGCGGCTTCTCCGCTTTGATGGCAGTTGTCGGGTTCTTCTTATCGACCTGCTGTTCCCGATCCATGCCCGTGGCCTTGTCCATCCAGTACCTCGCGAACCGCACAATCTTCCACGCTGCCCAATCACCAAATCCCCGAGGCGGGCGGTGCGAAGGCGTCACCTGATGGAGCTCCTCCATTGAGAAGCCGGGGTGAGGCCATGCCGCCGGAGTTGTCTTGATGTGCGGGGTGTCTTTGGCGGGGAAGAAGTCTCTGAGCTGAGAGACGGGTGTCGTCGAGAATGCTCGCGTGGTCTGGCCGTAGAGATGGTGAGATGAGGGTACGGTCCGGCCGGTACAGCCTAGCCTCCGGGTCAGTGCCGGGTGCGCGGCGAGTCTGCAGCTTGCATGGCTGTTGACGACGACTTTGGCAAGCCTGGCTGCTTGTATGGGGGCGTTTGTATTGGTGTAAGTCATTGCAAAATCTTATGTAAAGCTATAGTGGGTAGGTATTGTTGCAATGTTCAATGGCTTCAATGATGATAAGTCATAGGATGACACACGATTTGATG